GCGAGGAAGCGAAACGGGGCTGCCGTGGAAGCGAATGGTGCCACCGTGCGAGAGGGAGGAGCAGAACACGAAGCGACGGCCGAAGAAGGAGGAGGAGGAGGAGGCGCGGTGTGCCAAGGCAGGGGAACCGGGGGCAGGCGGGGCTCTTCTCGGTGCCTCCGATTCGGGTCGATGCGACTCCGGTATGGGTTCCGCTTCCGGTTCGGTTCGGCCCCGGATTCCAGTGTGGGTTCCGACTTCTCCATGAGACCTGGCTGGGCTGGCGATGTACGCCGATTCGACTCATCCCGACTCGGCTGTCGATCCGATCTGTTTCGATTGCCGATCCGACTTATCGATTCGATTCGGGGCTCTCTTGGCGCAGTAAAAGGACCCCCAATCCTTTGTGAGGCGACCTAAGTGAGGAGGCAAAAGCATGAGGGATAGGGGGTCTTCGCTCTGCAGATGTCTCTAACCAAGCCGCTCAGAATATTGAATCCCTGGTGCAAAGGCTGGGACCTCGGTGAGGCCACGTCTTCACTATGTTAGTAGGGTTAGGGGTTGTCTTGTCCTCGATGGTTTTCTCAAGGTGGAGGCCCCGCCCGCCTGTGCTCTGTCTCCCCAATTAGTGCTTTGCGCGGCCCGCCTAGCTCTTACCCGGAAGAGGCTCGCTCTCGACTCGCAGACCAAACAATGCTTTCTCACAAGCGTAGCGACGGCGAACATCACGCGCGCGGAGGCAACGCGTTGCCACGGAGTGGGAAACGAGCAGGGCCACGGGCCGATCCCGGTCTTGAGAACACGCAACGGAAGCGCGGCGCCCCAAAGCACAGGAGCGACGCCGACCTCCCAGGCGAGCAACACGCGTGCGCCCTGTAGGCGTCTTGCTTTCATTACCAGCCTCGAACGTATCCCTATCCCTAAGATTGACACGCCAAAAGGCGATGACAATCTTAGGGATCCGCCCTCAAAAAATAGGGGAATCCCTAAGATTGGCATCGTGATGAGGAGGTGCCCAGCATAGGGATAGGGATATGTTCCAGGCTGGCCCGTGCGCGGGGCGCGGTGTGAGAAGTCGGGTGACAAGCAAGAGCTAACGTTAAGTCGGGCCTGTCCCCCTACTGGGGGATTTTCGACCAAAAAATCAAATATACCCAAAAATAATCAAAACATAATCCAAAAATAATATGGGGACTATTTTTGGATTTTTTTATTGTTCTGGGGTATGTTTGGGTTTTTTTTATTTGTCGAAAATCCCCCTGTAGGGGGACACGCCCGACTTAAAGCTAACGAGGCGCTCGCGTTCTCGGGCCGTTCCTTCGGTCTGGGTCGGGGGCCCTGATTCGTTGTCGCCGGCCGCCTTGGCCGGGGAAGCCTCCTCGTGCCCTCCTCAGCGATGGCAGCACGATGACGGTCCCCCGGTCCCCCCCTTTCGGCAGAGAGACCCCGCTGCGGGCATTCGAGGTGGGTGTCGGAAGCCATCACTTGAGTCCGCAGGACACGAACCTGCCTCAGGCAGACCCGTCTCCTCCTTGGGAGGCGGAAGAACTGCATAAACCGAAACTTTTTCAGAGTTCCGCGCGGATTTTTTGCATCGGCGCTGGACACCCTTCCCCGGCCCGTTGCCATGGGCCTCGCCTGAGGGCGGCGCCGTAGGCGCCGCCAGGGGGACCCAGCGCCGATTCAATGTTTGTGTTTGCGCAGTTCTTGCTTCTCCCAAAGCAGGATACGCATCATGGCGCCAACATCGCAGAGCGGATTTCGTTCGGCAAACAATGGGATGGGCCCGGATTGTTTTGGAGAATCCCGTTCCAGATTTCGCATGAATTTCGCGCGGATGTTTTTGGCCAGGAATGAAAGTTGCAGAACGCGTGAAATTCATGTCGGTTTCCGCTGGCCGTTTCGGGAATCTGCGATGACAGAAATACACGCAAAAATCCGCTGCAGAAAAACACGACAGGAGCCCTAGACCCTAGCCCCTACATATCCATGTATGTATGTATGTATGTATGTATATAAATATATACAGATAGATGCGGCATTGTACGAGTCGGATTGATCCGTGATGGTCCCAGGGCTCGAAGACGGGCGAGCACGCTTGGTATACACAAACATGCGACGCCTTGGTCTCCCGGTGGCCCCCGCCCCCTTCGGCGCACCCAGCCAAGTTTTGGCCTCCCACAGGGGGTCCGAGCAGATGGGGTCGGAGGATCGCGCCGCATCGCCGATGTAATCATCGACGATGCGGCTCGGTGTGGAGCCAGACATGTTCTCCACGCCGAAGGCGCCGATGCATCGGCGATGCCTCGGCGGTGCGCCGGCGATGCATCGGCGATCCTCTGGCTACACCTGCTCGGACCCCACCTGGGGGAGGCCTCTACCCATGTGGGCCGCGGCTACACGTCGGGGCACTGGGGCACGCTCATGCCCTTCCACAGGTCACCAGCCCGAAACATGTCCCTACCCCTAGGAATGGCACCGCCTCGTCCCGCAGTTGTTCTGCGGGCGCATCCCTAAGATTGTCATCGCCTCTGCGCTTGTCAATCTCAGGGGTAGGGTGTCAGTCGGGCCTGTCCCTCTACAGGAGGAGTATTCCACAATAGTATAACACTAGTAGGGGAACGCTTCCTTCTACTATCTTTCACTCTCTCGTGAATATATACGTGTACGAAGCAATCAAGCAGGAAACACAACAACTCCGCCTGTAGGAGCACATGCCCGACCTGAGGGTAGGGACGAGCCTCGAGGCTGGTTCGCAGGGCCTGCCAGGCCGCCGGCGCGCCGCGGCGGCCGCTCCCCGCGCCCGCGCGGCTGCGGGCGCCGGCCGTGCGGCCGAGCTCGGCGGCGCTGGAGGCCCTCGGGCTGGAGGCGGGCGTGGCGCCCGGCGGCGAGGATGCCTCGGCCTCGCCACGCGCAGAGGGCCACCGAGGGCACGAGGGCCCTTGGCCTGAAGCGGGGCACGTCTTGCTGGAGGGGGAATCTTTTGCAAGGCAGTTGCAGCATGGTCTGGGGACGAGTTTCCGACCATCCTTCGCTCTTTTTGCTTTTGTGTTGACAATCGTTTTTTGTTTCCTGTCCAACATCTGCCTGTAGGAGGACATGCCCGACCTAGGCCTAAGCCTGGTAACGCGATGAAGACGTGACCTCACTTCGGTCCCCGTCTTCGCATCAGGGATAAAACATCTTGGCGGTGTGGTCTGGCACGTCTGCAGAAAACAGACCCCCTGCCCCTTTCTGGCCCTCCTGACCTTGGTCCCCTCCCAAATGGTTATGGGGTACTTGTATTGCTTATCAGAGGGGCGGGGTAAGGGGGAGGGGGGAAGGCTTCTTAGAAGCACCCCTGCTTTTTAGAAGGCGTGGGTCTTGTCTGTAGATGTTAGGCCGTCGCCTTCTAAGAAGCAGTATCCCTCAAAGAAACATTCCCCTCTCCCCCTACCCCCTCACGCGCCGACAGCTCAGAGGAGGAAGGGATACCTATAGCCCAGACTCGGAGGAGGGAAATGTACCGATGCCGCTGCCCTTGCCTCGTTTTCGCCTTTGCGGGCCTCCTGGGAGGCCCTCGTCGCCACGGCTGGGTTCGCCCCGAGATTGTGGTCGGGACGCACCCTGTGAGGAGGAGGGGGAGAGGAGGAGGAGGAGGAGGAGGTGGAGGAGGAGGAGGAGGAGGAGGAGGTGGAGGAGGAGGAGGAGGAGGAGGAGAAGCGGTATCGGTATCTTTTTGGTTTCACCCCAGACCCCTTTGAGTCGCGAGCAAAACTCACATTGAGGGATTTCTGATCGTGGTGGGCCTCTGCGGGCCCTCGCCAGGCCCCCCCCAGACGTGCAAGAAGCAGCTCGGAATCAAACATTCGGCCCTGAGGAAAGATGATCGTTTTTTATTTATTGTTTTGCCGATCGGCGCGAGCCCTCGCCCCCCCCCCCCTGGAGTAGATCTTGGCTGTTTTTCGGGGACTGTTTCGAGCAGGTGGGGTCTCCCCCATACGACGCACTGTCTCAAACAGTCGCACTAAGTAGAGGTCCGGAGCCAGACCCCCCCCCTTCCTTCCCCCCCTTGCCGCCCAGTGTCGACACGCCGAATAAAAAGCTCTCATCTTTGGGGACCCCGTAATGAACATGTCAAGGCATCGCACGTGTGGGTGTGGGGGATTCGGGGACGGCTGCTCGGCCTGGAGAGCTCTCGTCACCTCGGGAGGATTCTCCTCGAGGTTCCGGTCAGGACGTACCCCTGGGAGAGGCCCGGGGAGCAGCGGCGATGGACACCTTCTTTGTCCCCCCAGAGGACTGGGGCGCTTCCCTGCGCGCTGCCTGGCCCGACATATCCCGAAGAGGCGACAGCTGCACAAGCATTAAATCGGGCGTGCCCCTCTGCTGGAGGAGCATCCGTAAATTGTACAAAATAGTCAGGGGACGATTCTTCGAATTGTTTGACATGTTTACGGGACTATTTGTAAGTTTTCATCCACAATCCGCCTGTAGGGGGACATGCCCGACCTAACACGAGCACAGGCTTCCGCAGGTCCGCGCGGACTTCTCTCGTCGGTCGGCGCTGCCCCCCCGCCCCTATTGGCGGCGCGCGCCGCCTCTGGCGCGCTCTTCGCGCGCCAGGGAGGGGAGTCCGGCGCCGATCCAAGAAGCAGCCTCGTTTATCTGATCTTAAGTCGGGCCTGTCCCCCTACATGGGGATTTTCGATGAAAAATGAAAAATACCCCAAACATAGCCAAAAAACAATCCAAAAATAGTCTGGGGATCATTTTTTGAATATTTGTTGACCTTTTTGGGGCATTTTCTGGGTATTTTTTTGTCGAAAATCCCCCTGTAGGGGGACAGGCCCGACATAAATCTGATCCTTTACCCCGAGTTGGCCGTGATTGGCCACGGTACCTCAGCCCCGCCAGCCTGCCGCACCAGCTGGGGATCATGCCCCTCGGAGCTCGACGGGAGCAGCCTGTATCCCCCATCTTAGGGGGGGTAGATCGGCCAGTGGGGCCCAGGCCACGCCCGTGGAGGTAGGGGTCGGTTGATGGATGCTCAGGGCCTGGTGCCGATCCGAGAACTCCGCGCGGACCTTCGAAAGCCCAGGCTTGTGCAGCGTTTGCTTCTTCCAGCGTCCGAGGGGGCCGCGCTGAGCTGCATGCGGGACTACGTGCAGCGCCAGGGCGGGCTGCGAGCCTACGAGCAGCACCGCAGCCGGGCCGACCTGGACCCGAATCCTAACTCCAAGCTGTCTGCCTTTCTACGTTGGGGTCAGCTCTCAGCGAACGATCTCTTCTGGGCCGTGCAGGACGCGGGGCTTCCCCGCGAGCAGACAAAGACGTTCGGCCGGCGTCTATTCTGGCGGGACCTAGCCTACTTCCAGATGCACCACTTTCCCGAGATGCACCGGAAAGGGATACGCGCTCACTACGACAGGGCACGTTGGCGAGAGAGAGGTGACGGCATGTTGAGGCTCTGGCAGCGCGGCGAGACCGGCTACCCGCTGGTGGACGCCGCTATGCGCGAGCTGCGAGCCACGGGATGGGTGCAGCAGAACGTCCGAATGGTGGCCGCCACTTTCCTGACGGAGTACCTGAACATCTCCTGGGTGGAGGGGGCGAAGTGGTACGAGGATCAGCTCGTGGACGCCGACGTTGCCATCAACTCGATGATGTGGCAAAACGCCGGCCGCAGTGGAACCGACCAGTGGAACTTCCTCATCTCGCCTGTGTCGGCGAAGACTCAGGACCCCACCGGCTTCTACGTCCGCCGCTGGCTGCCGGAGCTCGCGCACCTGCCCGTTAGGTTCCTTCACACGCCGTGGGACGCGCCGCCAGACGTGCTCGCGAGCTCCGGCGTGCACCTGGGGACGTCATACCCAGAGCGCTGCGTGGTCGACCTGGCCGCTGCGCGCGACGAGGCCAAGCAGGCCACTCTGGAGATGAGGCGCTCCATCGCCGACACCTGGATGAACGATGGCCAGGGCTACGACGTCATAGCTCTCCCTGGCGGGGCGACCACCAAGCTCTTCACCAAGCTGGAGTACCGCCTGGCAAAGGACGGCCGCCAGCTGAATCCCTCGGCCGGGGCCTCGAAGCCCGGCAAGGGCGGCGGCAGGGGCGGCGGCAAGGGCAGCGGCAGAGCAGGCCGGGGACCCCCGGCCCTTCACCTCCTCCATCTGGGCAGAGACGGCATGTCAACACCATGGCCGTACGTTAGGCTTGTGGCGTGCCGACGCGTCAGCGACCCTGCCGCGGGTCATCAAGGATGAAAACGCCGCCGGTGGCCCAGACTCGGCCAGTGCGGAAGGATCGCCGCCGATTGTTCAAGGTTGAATGGTCCACGCGGTGTCAGAAACCAGCGTCGTGGTCGTCACAACCCGATACCGCCGTACCCGATCAGGATGAGGAGGAGAAAGGGAGGAGGAGGAGGGGGAGGAAGAGGAGGAGGAGGACGACCAAGTAAAGTGTCAGGAGCAGGAATCGCAGAAGAAGAGCATGCGGACGATGATGTTGCTGCTGCTGCTGATGATGATGATGATGATGATGCCACTGATGACTATGATGATGATGATGACGATGACGATGCTGATGCTGATGCTGCGTATGATGATGCTGCTGCTGATGATGATGATGACGATGCTGATGATGCTGATGCTGATGCTGATGCTGTTGTTGCTGTTGTTGTAGATGATGATGCTGATGCTGATGATGTTGATGATTATGACCATGATATTGATGCCGACGACGACGATGCTGATGACAACGATGATGAAGATGGTGCTGATGCTGTTGTTGTTTGTTGTTGCTGTTGTAGATGATGGTGTTGATGATGATGACGATGATGATGCTGATGATGGTGGTGGTGATGATGATGTTGTTGATGATGGTACTGAGGCTGATGCTGCTAATGCTGATGATATGATGTTGATGAGGATGCTGATGCTGCTGATGATGCTGATGATGATGCTGGTGATGATGATGATGCTTCTGATGCTGATGCTGCTGCTGATGTTAATAAGGATGATGATGATGAGGATGATGGTTGTGGTGATGATGATGCTGATGCTGATGCTGCTGTTGATGATGAGTGTTGTGATGATGCTGACGATGATTGTGATGATGCTGATTATGTTGATGCTGATGGTGGTGGTGGTGATGATGATGCTGCTGATGCTGTTCATGATGCTGGTGCTGCTGATGAAGATGATGATGCTGATGATGATGATGCTGATAATGATCATGATAATGCTGGTGATGCCGATGATGATGATTTTGAGGATGATGAGGATAATGAGGATGATGAGGATGATGAGGATGACGAGGATGACGATGATGACGATGATAATGGTGATGGTGATGGTGATGATGATGAGGATCGTGACGATGCGTTTGATTGTGATGGTGTTGGTTGTGATGATGATGATGCTGATGATGATGATGATGGTGATGGTGATGGTGATGGTGATGATGCTGCTGATGATGATGATGACGATGATGATGGTGATGCTGATGATGATGATGCTGGTGCTGCAGATGATGGTTGTGATGATGATGGTGATGATGACGATGATGGTGATGATACCGATACTGCTGATGATAGTAGTGATGATGCTGATGGTGATGGTGATGATGGTGATGCTGATGATGTAACTCATGATGATGCTGTTGATGCTGATGATGATGCTGATGCTGATGCTGCTGATGATGCTGATTGTGATGATGACGATGATGATGATGACGATGCTGACGATGATGCTGATCATGATCATGCTAGTGATGACGATGATGCTGGTGGTGATGCTGATGCTGATGCTGATGCTGCTGATGATGATTTTGATGCTGATGCTGATGCTGATGCTGCTGATGATGATGATGCTGATGCTGATGCTGATGATGATGCTGCTGATGATGATGGTGATGATGATGCTGATGATGATGAGGAGGAGGAGGAGAAGGAGGAGAAGGAGGAGAAACCTGGCACAGGAGGATGAGAAGGAGAAACCTGGCATGCCCAGAAGAACTCGCCGTGACCGCCAGTCTGCGAACCGAGCCCGTCGGCCCGCCATCCGATCGGCCTCGGGCAGGAAGACCGAGGCCATTCCCAGAAAGTTCCAAGCTTCCAGCAAAACAGTCTGGACCTCTGCCGAAGATCGCAGCCCTCAGACCAACATCTTGGGTCCTGGGCCTCCACATCGAAAGTCGGGCGGACGGCATCGGGGGAGGGAGAAGGAGGAGGAGGAGGAAGAGGAGGAGGAGGAGGAGGAGGAGAAGAAGGAGGAGGGAGAGGAGGAGGAGGAGGGAGGAGAGGAGGAGGAGGAGGAGGAGTGAGGAGGAGGAGGAGGAGGAGGAGGAGGAGGAGGAGAAGAAGGAGAGGAGGAGGAGGAGGAGGAGGAGGAGGAGGGGAGGAGGAGGAGGAGGAGGAGGAGGAGGGGAGGAGGAGGAGGAGGAGGAGGAGGAGGAGGGGAGGAGGAGGAGGAGGAGGAGGAGGAGGAGGAGGAGAGGAGGAGGAGGAGGAGGAGGAGGAGGAGGAGGAGGAGGATTACCAAGCGCGCTATAGGCTTAAAGGGTACCTAAACCCATCTTTAAGGATGAGGCGGCCACATCCTCAAAGTTGGAGGTACTGCCCAAAGCTATCGGCCACCTGCTGAAACCAAGGGGGCCAAACCCCACTTATAGCTTTCGGCCGTACCTCGGGATAGGGTGCCTATCCGTCAGGAATAGCTGCTCGAATTACCACCCCACATTCCGGGACTCGGAAGATCCGAAATACAACAATTACGTATCATCGAGCAGCTATTATATTCGACCGTCGGTCGAATGGCAAACTCTGGCACCATGGACCCTCCCCGATTCTATTCGACCGTCGGTCGAATGCAACGCCCTGGCCCGTGGACCCCCTGCCACAACCTCGGGGAGGGTAACTGGCCCTCGGCGAGGCATTCTATTCGACAGCAGGTCGAATGACGAGCTCTGGCTCCGTGGGCTCCCCTCCAATTATATGCGACCGTCGGTCGAATGACACGCCCTGGCATCATGGACCCCCTGCGACAATTCTCGGCGGGGGGGGGGTCAGGCTCGGACTCGGAAGATACGAAATACAGATATTACGTATCATCGAGCTGCTCTCTGCGAAGCCATAGCCCGGAGGTGACAGACACGGCACCGAAGGAGCGCTCGCGGCGGAGCCACAGCACGACGGAGTATCATGGCACCTCGGTGTTCCTCCCTTTCCAAACGGACCATGGTCCGTTTGGCCATCGTCACGACGATCGCGGGGGGAGAGCGAGTGGAAGGGGGGGAAGGAGATGACAGGGGAGAGCCGGGAGAGGGAAGGGGACTAGGAGGGACGCAGACAGAAGGACGGTGATGGCGGCGGGGGGGTGCACGGGTGAGCGAAATAGGAACCGGAGGAGGAGGAGGAGGAGGAGGAGGAGGAGGAGGAGGAGGAGGAGGAGGAGGAGGAGGAGGAGGAGGAGGAGGAGGAGGAGAGAGAGGAGGAGGAGGAGGAAGAGGAGGAAGAGGAGGAATATGAATAAGAATAGCAAGAAGAAGACGAATAATAACAACAGTAATACTAATAATAATAAGAAGCAGAAGCATAAGCAGAAGCATAATAACATAACTAATAATACTAATAATAAGGAAGAATAATGCATAATAATAATACTAATAATACGAAGAAGAAGAAGAGGTGGAGGAGGAGGAGGAGGAGGAGGAGGAGATGGAGGAGGAGGAGGGGAAGGAGCAGCAGCAGGAGCCCTCCTGCCGCCCCCCCCCCTTCCCGGGGAGGCGCGGAGCCCGCCGGCAAAGGCGGGGGCAAGCGGCAGGCGGAGGGGCGGCGGGCCGCCGCCGCGGCGGGCGGGCAGCTGACCATCCGCCGCGGGGCCGGGGGGGGGCTCGTGGGCTTTTCGGGAGCCTCGAGACGGGGGTCAGTGCAAACGGGGGTCAGCCAGAGCGCTGGATCTTGCAGGATCCTGCAGGGGCGGGGTCGCATTGACCCGGGTTTGGGCGCAGGATCTCGCAGGATCGTGCAGGATTCTGCAAGGCCTGACTGACCCGGGTCTGGATTGACCCCGGTCAGAAGATCCCCGAGCTTTGGGTCTGAGGGGAACCCAGACATGATCGCGTCGTACAAGAAATCAGGACGAGAGTTTTTTTTGCCAAGGTCGGCTTCGGGAGGCCCTCGCCGGGCCTCGGGAGCGTCAGACAACGACTCGGGATGAAGGACCGTTCCTGGGGAACGGGTCGGGATTTCAGGGACCCCGTATTGAAAAAATCAGGGCGTCGCATGTCCGGGAAGGTAAGTTGTGCAATCCAGAACCTGGATGTCGGGGCGCCATATCGATGGCCGTCCAAAAGCCTGTCCAAAGAGAGCTCTGGGAACTCTAGAGGGAGCTTCCAAAAAGGAGCTTCTGGGGAGTTTCCGGGCAGGCGTATTGGGAAACGCTTGGAAAAGGCTTGCCGGGACATGCTTCAGACCAGCCCCGCCCGGGATTTTTTAAGGAAGCCAGAAGAAGCTCAGTGGCTACCCTGCGGTGCCCGTTTCTAATTCTGCGAGCCTAAAGGTCTCCAAGGAGGCAACCAGGAACAATGGTGGGGTTTTCGACCAGGCAGATTTTTGCGCCGAGCTCGGAGATAGACGATCGCGTCCATACTCGATAGCGGTGTGCCGAGACACATCGCCTGCGTACCTAATTTTACAAGGTCCCCAGCCAGGCCTACGCTCGGCGTGCATGCTTTCTTGGCAGAAGCAGCAGCATTTCCTATACCGCTACCCTTCCCTCGTTTTCCCTTTTGTGGGGCCGCCTCCTGGGAGGCCCTCGTCGACATGGCTGAAGATTCGCCTCGGAATCCTGGACAGAACGCACCCGAGAGAGGTCTGGGGAGGAGCGGTATCGGCTCCTTTTGGTTACCCCCCCCAGGGTCGGGAGCCTTGAGACAGGGGTCTATGCAAA